CTTTTTCAGCCCCTACTTCAATTAAGCTTGGTCAATGCAGCTTTCCTGCTCTAATTCAAGAGGTTTTGTTTTGTTTTCTTTTTTTTTAAGAGAGAGCGTGACCGCACGCATGAGTGGGTGGAGGGGCAGACACAGAGAGAGAGAATATCTTAAGCAGGTACCACACTCAGCACAGAGCCCAAAGCCAGTCCCGATCCCACGACCCTGAGATCATGACCTAAGCTGAAATCAAGAGTCGGACACTTGACTGACTGAGCCCCAGGGTTCCCAGGAGGTATTCAATGGTTAGAATCTTCCCCAGCAGAAGTAACAGGTCGCTGAGAGGGTGAGGCGTCGTCACATCTGACAACAGCTATATTCCCAATTGGAAGGATGACACAGGCCCCGGAACGACAGAATGATGAGATTCAGGAATACAGGGCCCCTCTGAGAACAACCCAAAGCCCTCCATCCGGGGCTCATCTCAGAATGCAAGCAGAGAACACACGAAGAATATGCTGGCATGGCACTAAACCCCTTCTCTGGGCTGTCAGCACATCAGATGTCAAATGTCCCAAACATTCAGGCCATTACTAGTAGCTCTGGGGGCTGGGGGACTTTCCTTTTAAGAAATAAAGCCCCTTCCGCCTGGGTGGCTCAGTCGGTTAAGCAACTGCCTTTGACACAGGTCATGATCCTGGAGTCCCGGGATCAAGTCCCACATCGGGCTCCCTGCTTGGCAAGGAGTATGCGTCTCCCTCTCACCTCTCTCCTCTCATACGCTCTCTCTTTCTCATCCTCTCTCTCTCTCAAATAAATAAATAAAATCTTAAAAAAAAAAAAAAAGAAAGAAAGAAAGCCCTTCAGTAGCTCACTCCCCTGGGCTGCACCGTGGCGTTGGGATGGAGGATGCAGTCTTCCCAGTGCAAGGTGCCTTGCTTGACTCACCCCTGCGTCCCAAGGGAGGAAAACCATGACACACTCAAGCCCCAACGTCACTGAAACGCCCTCCGGCTTTCATCAACTCTGTAGCAAACAGTTCTGGCCACGGACAGCCGTCCAACCCCAAACTGTTCAACAGGGACATTGTAGATGCTTTCTTAGGATAACTCACACTTACTTTCTGTTCGCAGGGTGGGAAAAACAGTCAAGAGCTGGATTGTGTAAAGGCCAAGTTTTGCAGGATTTGTGAAAGGAGCTTGCCAGAAATGCCTGCTGAGGAAACAGAGGGTGTCTGTGTGCCAGGGTAGGGCCAGGAGTGCGGAGGAACGGGCGTTTAGCCTTTCTACGGCAAGTGTACAGTTGCTCAGGGCTCTAAAAAGTTAAGCTCTAGCACCCAAAGAACAGTGCATTCCTCACTGCAGGCAGGACTGTCTTAACGTGGGCCACAGATGGATGGTTCCCCAAGACAGAAACCAGACAAGACCACACTGGGAGCCCGAGCTTGGCTAGGTCTCTGTGAGTCACCACGCTGCAGAGTTCTGAAAAGGAAGTCCAGGCAGATGAAGCCCCATGTCCAAGCTGTCACGTGCGGAACGAGGATGGAGCCGAGCCTAGAACCCAGAACTCTGAGAGCAAGAGCTGTAATAATGAAACGCTCCTGTGTGATTTTACTCAAGCCCCACAATCACCAAATAAGAGACACGTGTGATCTCAAAGGAATGAAACAGAGGCAGGAGGCATAAACAAACTACCCAACGGCAAAGCCGATCTCAAGCAGAACCCAAACACGGCCTCAGCCAAGCTCTTCCTGGGCTGCTCAGTCTCATCTCAACAAACTGAAGGAAGAACGGTGGCCATTCGGGTGTCTGGACAGACGCAGAAGGTAACAGACCAGTACTTGCCTCTCTAAGGGTTAGTGCCCGCTATGTTTCGGAAGGAAACTTTACAGAAACAGCAGCACCCGTTCCCCTCCCGTAGCCATGTCCCTCGGCAAGGTGACTGGGCAGTAGCTCCCGGCGAGTGGCAGAGCGCAGTGCCCTACTCCTGGAATCCCAGATCAGCCTTGTGATTCAAGCGAGAGAATGCCGGGAAGTGACAGACAGTGGGCCGGTTCTGAGCCTCGGCCCAAAGACCCCTGCATGCTCCCATCCGTTCCCGGGGCCACAGCAAGCCCGGGCTGGCCTCACGGAGGCTGGCGGGTCCGGAGGAGCACAGCCACAGCGGCCCACAGTCCCAGCGGAGGTCCCAGAGATGTCGGTGAGGACAGCCAGAATCAGACGGGCCGTCCATCACCCTACCAGCCTGTGTCCGAAGCGCTGACAAACAGTTACTGCCGTTGTAAGCCACTGAGGTGTGGAGCGCTTTACTACACAGCAGAGGTTAACCGGCAAGGCCCGTAGACTCAGACTCAAACTCTGTCCTGCCCTGGTAAGGCCTGCTCTCCCTGGCCTTGCTTCCAACGGGAGGAGGACTTCTCTTTAAATACAGAACACTTACAGGGCTGACCCACAGCCCAACGGGAGACCAGGGTAAAAAGGCCAAAGTATTTCTGCCAGCTAACACCTGAGTGGTGATGCTGAGAGCGACCCACTAACGTTTCCCGGTCCCCGCCCCCACCCTGCCCACCCCACCACTTCACACAGTCCCTCGGGCCACAGAGGACCAACTGCGCATGCCCCTTCCCGTCTAATGCAGGGTCTGCAAGAGGACAGAGTCAGGGCTGGGCAGCAGTACACAAGTCAGGAGGCACAGGCGACAAATGAAAGCTCACACTCACGTTTCCAAGCAAAGAGCAGCAGGGAGCGACTCACCGAGGGCACAGGCAAGGTGCCGTGCCGGCTGAGAAAGGAGTTAGAGACGGACACACTGATGCCCTGAGTGGCACTGCTGTCCTCGGGGGTGAAGGCCACTTTAGTTTGCTGGACACAGTAGGAGACAGAGGAGAAGGAAGAAGCAGCATAGGAGGCCTGCTGGACAGAAGGGACGAGAGAGAAGACAGGGAAGGAGGGAGAAAAGCAGAGAACGGTCAGGCAGGTACACACGAAGGCTCATAGGCTGCTACCTAATTCTGCTTGGACGTTCTGGAGAGGGATGGCTTCTTGGCTCAACAGAGGAATCCAAGATGCCTGCCCAAGTCTACCTGGACGAGAGGGTGCCCTCCTTCACCTCCTCATGAGGGATTTAAAAAGCCAACTTTCCTACAAGTTGTGTTCACTGGAAGTGGTGGCAATGTGGAAGGAGGCCAAGGGGGCTCGGGATCCAGCTCCGGCACTGACTTGGGCCCTCATGGTCCTCCCCTGGGGAGCAGACCCTGGAGTTATTCCTGCTTCCACAGAGGGTGCTGCTGGAGCCAGGTTGCCTGGCTTTGAACCTGGGTCTCACCATTTGGGACCTGTTTGGCCTCCGGCATTATTTAAAGCTCTGTGTGCCTCAGGCTCTGCATCTATAAAATGGGGACAACTGTCTAGGCCCGTCCGTGTGTAAAGTGCTCAAAGCCAGGCCTGCCGCACTGTACCAGGCCAGCGGGCACAACGAGAACTACTATCTTTGCTGGTGAAATCGAGCACAAGCCTTCCTGCATCTGTATCTGCAAGAGGGCGGCCACACAGTAGGCACAGGCCACACCACAAGCTGCGCCGGGCTGTGCCAGAGCCGGGCTCAGTCCCCATCTTCTACTTCCCGTGGCGGGTGGGCTCCAATGAAGTCCCTCTGGCTCCCTCAGCCTCAGCGGACTTAACGGGGGTGGGGTGTGTGTGACAGAGGCCGTGGGGGGCACCACATGAAGCCAAACAAGCCGCAGTGCGGACACAGAGGGCGCTCAGAAGGGCGTTGGCCCTGCTCCTGGGCCCCTAGCTACCGCCCTACAGCACGGGGAGGGCTCAGCGGGCTCCCCCACTCAGGCTCTGACTCCGAGTGCTCCCTAGGTGTCTGTGTGAAGCCCGGGGGCTCCATGGTGCGGAGAAGACGTCCAAGGATGACCGATGGGCACCTGTGGACACCGGCAGGAGGAGCTGAGATGTTTCAGATCTCAACGAGATCCAATTCGACTGTTCAACCATACATACATTTTAGGTCAGGGGTCCCTGGGGCAGGCGTTTCTATTTCCGTGGTAAAGATGGTTTTCTGAAACATTTTCACAGCCACGTAGATTCACACTGGGGCATATTCAGGTGTTCATAGGGTGGGTGAAGACCTGAGGCCCCGAGTGCCAGTCGTGAGACACAGCTAGTCCCGGGCTCTGCCTGGTCAGCCCGAGCTCACCAAATGCGGGAAAGCTCAGGGGCCCCTGGGGCGGGGCAGGGGCTCGAGGAGTAACCCAAGGTCAGAAAAGGCAGGCCAGCACCTCTGTGTCCTCTCACGAAGGACAAAAGATGGCCAGGCCCCTCTGAAGTGGGAACACTACCAGGCTGGCCCAGCCGATGAGCGTAACGGCACGTGCAGCTCTGAACGGGTCAAGAATCCCTTTGCACTCTCCCGGTGAGTTGCTCGGACTCTACCATCTGACCACGGTCCCCCTGGTTGGTAAACTGGGAGCCATAGGGACAGGGATCCGGAGGGACGCGGCAGTTACCCGTGATCTGCCCGCCTGCCCGCCGGCTCGCTCTTGGCCGGACAGCCCGCCCTCTGTGCTGACTTGGGCTTCGTTACCTACAGGGGCTCCTTGCACAGGGGGTTTTTCAGAGGAGCTAGGGTGCCACGCTGGGAACACAGAACGGCTCTGTGTAAGGCCATCGTGCTTCAATAGAGCTTGTTTCCACGGGGCCATCCCTGGCCAGGGTGGGGTGTCAGTCACTGTGCGTAGTTGGGCCATTATGTAAATCAAGTCCACAGATGGGCCTACACAGACCAGGCCCTGTGCCCTGATTGAGTCCCTCCTTTCTGGGAGGTCTATATTGGAGCCAGAGAAGAGAGGGAAAATACAAGAGACTGTCAGCAGAGAAAGCAGACGTTCTGAGCACCAGCCAGGCCCAGCTGCGCGGGGCTGCTCCGGGAGAGAAAGGCGTCGCCACCCCCAGGGTGGGGCGTCGGGGGAGCCCGGCAGAGGAAGCCGCGCGGTCCTGCGGCGGAGGGCGGCTTACCAGCTGCCGCTGCTTGGGGGGCAGCGCGGGGGGCGGCGCCAGCTCCTGCGGGGCCTCGGTGCTGAACGAGTCGTTGAAGCCGTACACCTCCATGAGGAGCTTGTTCTTCTGCTGGTAGATGTGCTCGTTCTGCGGCGTCTGGTAGAACATGGACGGTTGCGGCTCCGAGTAGTCCTCCAGCAGCTGCATGTAGGCCAGCACTGCGGGGTACACGGGGGTGGGGCGGCCTGGCGTTACCGGGGGCGGCTGCGGGGCACACGGCTGAACCCCCCCACCCCAAGAGGGCCCCTCCCTGCACGGCCAAGCCATGGCCAGGCCCACAGAGCACCCCGCCCCCACTGCCCGCACCACCATGCTGCCCAACCAAAACCCACTGCCACACAGCAAGGGTGAGACCCGCGCAGGCTGTGGCTCTGGCCGACAGGGACCCATCTGTGCAGGCTGGGTGACTCACACACAGCACTGTGGTGGAGAGGTGACAATGGGGGAGGCCAGGACCTGCGGGAACTCTGTACTTTCCACTCAGTGGTGCCCTGAACTTAAAACCACTCTAAAAAAACTGTCTTTAACCGCTTTAAAAAGTAGTCTATTTTTTAAAGAGCATATGGGGGACCCCCACACTCCCCGAAAAGCCCTGGGGTTTCCTGGCACCCTGTGGTCACACCCGAGGCTAGGCACCACTTCCCACTCCTCTGAACCCAGATGCATGTCTTCCTCCGCTCTTGGGACTACTGGGGTGCGCGTGCCCGGCAAGCAGGCTCTCCCCCCGCCTGTGGCTTGGTTTCCCAGAGGCTCCACGCCACCCGCGCGCCCAGCAGCCCCTCCTCATCTCTCCACGCCGTCCTCTTAGCCCTTCCCACAGTCATGAGCCGCCTGGGGGACTGTCCCATGTATGTGACTTGACCGGGCACCGACGTGCTGGGCACCAGCTCAGGGGCTGGGACCAGACAGCGGCCAGCAAGCAAGTCTTCTGTCCGTGTGAGGCTCACACCCTCCCAGGAGACAGAAAACAGACCACGTGTGAGTGCTGAGGACAGAGAGTGAAGCGGTTCGGTGCCAGGGGCTTCTCCAGAACACAGATAAGCTACCTGAGGCCTTCCACACCGAGGCTACAGGCTGGGCGATGGCAAAGGCCGGGCCAGGGGTCCAGAAAGCGGAGCACAGCCAGAAAGGGGAGGCTGGAGGGAGTGAGGCAATCACCTGGGAGGGTCAGGAGAGGCTGTGGGAACAGGGCAAGGAGGCCGACCTGCTGCCGCACCCATGGGAACCTATGAAGGGTTCCCCTCCAGGCTGGCCTGGAGCTGCTCTGTCTTGAGAAAACAACTCTGGGGCCATGCGGTTGTTTAGGGGACAGACTGTGGTGTGGCTGGAGGTGGTGAGGTTGATGTGATTCAGGATGCATGTTCAAAGCAGATAAAACAGGATTTACTGCCTGTCTCCAGAGAGCTGAAGCTGCCGGAGGACAGGGCCGGCCCATGTCTGCCGCTGCGCCACGGGCGCCCGACACACGGCAGGGTCCACAGACAACTCTAGAATGAATGAGTGAACAAAACACACCTCATCCATCCCGACCACGTGACTTGCTAAACCAGGCGATGGCCCTGGGTGGGTCTTGTGAAGCCCCCACCGGGTAAACATAAAGTAACAGCCACTAAATCCCACTCTCCCTTCGAGCCCAGAGACTACAGAACATCCTGATGGGAGGCACAGACCGCGAGGAAAACACGTGCACCATCTCCTTCCTAAACCTCCTTCAGAAAGCCTGGCCCTGGCCACCCTCCTGCTCCCCTGGGGTAGCTCTGCCCGTAGCTTCAAGGCTGCCCAGGGGCAGGCTCCCTGACTCAGCCGGGCACTCTCACGGCCAGGGAACCCAGCCACAGACGCCAGCAGGGGCCTCAACCGCCTGAGGAGGCAAAACATCTCAAGGACCCCGCAGCCCTTGCATGGGGGCATCAGGGTACTTCACTCCCACCTGGGGTTAGCGATGGGAGCCCCAACTCCAGAGCCAGGCCCTTCTACACGCTCTACAGGTTCAGGGCAAGTGACAGCTCGGAGTTGACTGTGTCTGGTCCTTTGGTCCCCTTATGAAGCCAGGAGGCTGGGTGGGAGCAGGCCTTCTCTAATCCCCCTCTCTCTGTGGGACTGGAACCCACATTTGACGCTCCCCACGGCGAAGTCCAGGTCAAGGCTGGCCTGAAGTGCAGTACCGCCCTCCCGTTCTCTTGGAGGTGGAGGGAGCTCCCGAGAGTGAGGGAACTCCCTATAAGCACGAACATGTCCATGTTTGCAAGGAAAACATGGTTATGACCACTTGATTCATGAGTGAGGAACGAAGGCTGATCAGTTCATTTGCAGGGCTGCGGCACACACACTAGGAGGGAGCTAGTGACGAAGGGAGCTGGGAAGACAAAGGGTCCCAGGTTTGGAACCAAAGGAATTTAGGTGCGTGTATGGGCAGGCACAGGAATGGCAGCGGTCGAAGGTACCATCCAGAGCCGGGTGCTGTTCTCCTGGGTCACATCACAAGTGCTGGGAAGCAGCACCTGCTGGATACCCAGAAAAAGTGTCCAGTGCAATTCTGCACGGCTCCGTTCTGTATTTTCACATGGCCTGAGGCTGGGGGCTTAACTGGAGACCCTCAACTGGGGTCAAGGTAGACAAGGAACACCTTTCTCTGCGGTGTCTTTCTTGTGCCCTTCACTGGAGGAGGGGGTACAAAATCATCTCCTTTATCTCAAAGAACCAATAAGAATGTCTTCACTCCAGCAAGCGCAGAGCAGAGCTTGGCCCTAACTGGCGGGTAGGAAAAGGTGGTCTCACCCAGGAGGGCACCGCTGCCTGAAGGCAAGTGTAGCGCGCCACCCCCTCGAGCCTCGTGATGCTTTTCTGGCGCACTGCACGACTGACACCACGAGGTTCTAGAGGAAGGTGCGAGCCTTAGAAGGGGATCCCAAATGCCCACCGAGTGCTCCCTAAAAAGACTGAACGTAAGCAGCTTCGCCTGACTAAAACAGGAAGTTTCAGTAAGAACTGACCTTCCGGATGTCTAAGTGCTTGCTGGGACCTGCTCACCAAGCACAGAGACAGTAGTGAGGTTCACGACCTTCGAGAAATAAGGAAGACCGGGTCCGTTTCAAAGGCAGCACGGGAGCTCCGAGAAGAGAGCAGTGGGTGTCACTGGGCATACTCGGCAGGCTGGCGCTCCAGCTGGCACCGAGGACTGTGGGCAATGATCAGGAAGCTCGTCAGGCACAACGGGCTCGGAGGGCTGCCCTCAGCAAGAGGACCCTCAGGACATCAGTGCAACCCAAAGGAGAAGGACACTATGATATCAGGACTGTGTACATATGAGCTTTGTCCAGCGTTACCCAAACACAAGAGATGATTATTCTCTCCCTCCTTTCCCACAAAGCGACTTTGCAAGTTTTCCACCAGGTCAAAGAAGGAACTCCTCAAGGGTCCCCACGGGGAGTGAAGAGTGGACTGGAGACTAGGACCAGGCCTCAAGTTTGGGGGTCCTTTCATGGGGTCCAAAAAAAGACCTCCTGCTGCCTGGAAGTCACTACTGAAACCCATACGGTCTCCACAAAGGAGGGCAGATCCCTTCCTCCTCAGTGTGCTGGGAAAACGCAGGCCTGCTCCGAAACCCAGATCTGCCAACCCCCTGCCAGCTGTCGCCGGCAAGGCTCAGTTCCTTTGCACTCCGGTTTCTTCTATAAACCATGCCAGTATCACTGCCTGAAGCCAGTGAAGACTAAACATGATGGTGTGTGAAGCTTTAGCCCAGGGCGTGCCACACCTTAAGCTCTTAGTAGTTTTTCAAGGTTTTCAGACACAAGTGCTACAGACAGTAATGGAAGAGATAAAGCCTAAAAATAGACGTCTAAATAGAAAATATTTTTAGCCACTGGAGACTTGAGGCTGTTGGAAAGGGAATAGCGGCTGCCTCCCTTCCTCCTCCTCTCTGCAGCCCCACATAAGGGCCATGGCCCACACCTGCTCTAAAAGCCGAGAAGGTGAGGCCCCTGGCTCCACGGCCAGGCCACACCAGGCACCTGCTACAGTGTGCACGGATCAGTCGCACCCTGTGTTCTGGGTTGAGAGGATTCCAGGGAGAGGAAAGGGTATGAGCCCAGAGTGACATACTACTTGAGTCAAGGTGAGGGGGTCGAGGGGAAAGGCCAACAGCTCTCCAGACACTTGCCAGTGCGGAGGGAGAGACTGAGGGGAACATCCCCGGCGCTGCCGCTGGCGGTCCCCGCTAGTAGCAACCTGTTTCTCACAAGTGAATGGCAGATGGGAATGACCTCATCAGCCCTCCAGAGCCAGCTCTCCCTCCAGCTGGGGGACGAGACCACCCTAGGCCAGGACACAGCCTGGGTGACACCTAGCAAGGAGCTGGGAGACAAGGCCCACCCAGCCACCCTCGGGGCCATCCCTGCTGCATTAACCACTCTCCCCTTCTTCGAGGGTGGACCCCATGCCAGCTGGGGCCAATCAGAAGCTCTCACTTGGGAATTTGGGAAGGAGAGTTAGTTCCTAGTTGGTGGACGTTCTCTGCTGGGCGCTTCAGCTGAGGCCAGGGAGCCCGGGGCTGTGTGGCCCAGGTGACCACACAAACCTCCAAATGGTGACAGCCAGTCCGCCAGACAGATGGAGCAGTGGGCCAGTGGAATGGGGGACAGGGTGGGGCAGAGAGAGCCGGACGCCAGCAGGAAAACAATCTCTACTTGGGAATTTGATGGCAAAGTGACAGTCGGAAAATATTCCAACTACAAACATCTAAAATTTCAGCTCCACGCCTGGGCTCTGGTAACAGCATAATTACAAATACGCAGTCTAAGAAACGTCCTCAGCAGCTCCGACCAAGCAGCCTCAGGTTCTCATTCTGTGACAGTCCCTGTCTGCAAACAGAAGGCGGGCAGGGGACGGGGTGGGGGCGGGGCGCACCAGGGACCTCTCTGAACAACAACCCTGCACACTCTCAGGGCTCCTTGGAAACCCCTCTGTGGGCGCGGTGAGCTCTAACTCAATTCATATGTCCATCCTGCTTTAGCCAGATGTTGCCGTAATGATACTGTCCTGAAGCTGTGACCCTCACTTACTTCTCTGTCGCTGGGTGTTCAGGCCAGACGCTCAGGGCTCTTTGGCAGCCTGAGAGCTGAGAGAGGCCGTAAGAGAGGTCGGCTTAACAAGCTCTACAAACCATCACCAGGACCGACAAAACAAGGCTCCCAGAAGTGTCCACATACCACTGGCCCCATCTTTTATGAAATTATGAGGCTGCTCGTTTGATTCTGGCCTCACGCTTACATGCTCAGATCAAACGCACCCGCATTTTAGGTCACAGAGTGTGCTTCCAGACAACAGCTCGACGAAAGCTTACTGTGTTTGTTTTTCTTCTCTGGTAGAGGAGGCGGTTTTTCCGGGTCACCTGTTGACTCAGGAACAGTGAAATCACCCACAAATTCGACAGAGGCTGAGGACCCTCCTTGCTGAAAGGGGAGAATAGCAGCAAAGGGCGTGAAGGGGATGGACGGGACCGAGGCTGGGTTCGGCAGGTCGTCCTCGGAGATGTTGTCATACTGGGAGGGGTGCCGCTCGTAGGACGCTCGGCAGCCAGAACTGTCCGTGGTCTGAGAGGCCGCACTCCTGCGCTTCTTCTCGGGGAGGGCGGGCGGCATGTCCATCTGCTGTCCCGCGGCTGATGGCCCCTCCGGAGGTGCTGGAGGCAACTGGAAAGGATGGCCAGGAAACGGAGACCCAGACTCTCCCAAGGACTCCGGCAACGGGCTAAGGTTACAGGCCACTTGCTGAGGTATCTGGTCTGCGTTAGAGAGGTCTTGCTGAAGGAACTCATAGTCCGGATCGTAGTGATCTGCATTCACAGCAGGAAAAACATGACTGTCAGCCGCAAGGCCCCAAGAAAGCAGCGATCCCATTCACTCGTGCACGACACAAACACGATTTCTGTCTCATCTCTACCCTGTATTTTATATTCCTCATTCTTCTCCCTGCTTGAACACATAAAAGCAAGCGGGAAAATGGCTGTTTGCTACCCTGTTCTTTGTATTTTCCTGTATTTTTTGAATTTCTTATTTAAAAAAAGAAAGAAAAATGCATGACCACTGTAGAAAATGTGGCCAAAATAGAAAAAAAAAAAATCATCCACAATCCCATAATTTAACTATAATCTGTTTACATTTTAATGTATTTCCTTAAAAGTCTTTTTTCCCCCTAGGATTCTTTTTTTAAAAAACCCAACTAAGAAAATACCATGTGGGTGGTCTTGGATTTTGTCCGTTGATCAGTGTATCATGACTGGTTTCTCAGACTCCCGTGTTATCCCAGCACACGCACGTACAACTCCTCTGCTTTCCTACCACTGAGTTTCTGGTCTACCACTCCTCCCAATGATGCTGGCATTAACGTCCTTGGATAGAAATCCTGCCACAGATCTCTAAGATAAACTCTCCAAGTGGAACATCGAGCTCACGGGACACAAACAGCTTAATGCTCCTGACACCTCCTGCCCAGCTGCCTTTTGGACTTGCCTCTGCCCCCTCCCCGATATCCTGCCCCCCCCCCCGCCCACACCCACCAGGAGGTCAGCACGCGCTGCTCGCTTGCCTTTGCCCTCCGTCCGAAGTCGTTAGGGGCTCTCCCCTTCACCATCCCCTTCACCACCCATAGCTCTGAGCACAGGTGACTCCCATGTGGGCGAAGGGAATGAGACTGCACACTGCAGGTCGACCATAATGACAGCTACCACCTGAGCATCTCCTCTGTCGATGCACACGGTTATTTCACTCAAACGCCCCACCTCCTTGAGAGAGGTGGATGTCGGTAGCCTCACTCTGCAGACGAGGAAGCAGACTCTGACTGAGCTGGCCAGGGCTGTATGACCACTGCCTGACCTCCCTGTGTGACCCCAAAGCAGCCATCAAGGAACGATGAGACAGGAGGCGTGACCAGGACGCCCGGTGCTCACCTAGTGTTTCACAGCTTGTGTTCCGGGAGCACTGGCCACTGTCCCTGTCCAGAGAGGACAGCTGCTCGTCCGACTTGCTGAGCTTGCCTATGCTGCTGCAGGGGGACAGGCGGGGCGACTCCCCGCCGTACGAGTGGCTGCCTCCTGAGAGTCGCCTCTGTGTGTAACAGTCCACGTCAAAATCCTCGTGTGGAGAAAGAAGGACAAGCACAAGTCACTTCTGAGAAACGGTGGCAGGGCCCAGGGGCGAGGGGTCAGCACGTTTAGTTAGAGGAGACTGCCACACTCCGAAACCGGATGGAACGGCCCATCTTTGATGTAAGCAGTAAAAAGCCAGGTCTGTGACTTCCGAGAAAGGAGCCTTGCTGACTGCTGGGTCTGTGTGGCAAGCAAGCACCCTGGGGCCAGGCTCAGATGTCCTCAGGAGACACCCCTAGCTCCAGCCTCTCCACCCCTGCCCCCTCCCCGACGAGGGAACCTCGACAAGGTCCTGTGGTCCTGCCGAGAGAGAGGAACCATCCTCTCATTGCCAGGGGCCGAAGACCAGCATGATCAGGGCTCCCAGACCCAAAGCCTTCCTCTGCCTTGCCAGATGGGGCTACATTACCTGCCTATTAATTCCAACAGGCAAACTGGAGCCGCTGGTGGCTCGACTCATGGGCGCAACGACAGCCACTCGGGTTGGGGATGGAGCAGACTGTCTTTTCTTCGGCGGCAGTGCCGGTGGAGGACTGAAACAGATCAAGAGACCCAATCAAACCAGATAACCCAAACGACAGCTCCTTACGAAGATGTGAGGATGCAGAATGTGGGGATCTTTCATTATCAGACACTTCCCGTCTACTTCTCACACTTTCAGCTCCTGTCCAACTCCACCGCTGCCAAAATAAACCTATCAATGCCAAAACCCTAAAATCAGAAAAATCCTTTCTTTTCCTTCCATCGTAAGTTGTACTAAGGCTAAAAGGCACTCCACTGGGAGTTCTTGGAGCATGTGGCAAGAGAAGGCTCTGCGGCCAGGCTCACATCCTCTACAGACGCCTTCCCAAGGAAGATCAAGATTCCAAGGCTTCTAAGGAGCGAGGGGCTGGCTGGGTTCCAAGTTCTCACCCTCATGGCACCACCTTCACTTCTACATCCTTTCATCGGATTATGCCTAGGTCCAGAGGGTGCCAGAAATATAAAAATTACCTGTTATCAACCACCCGAATGCCAGGTAACGGGGGCTTGGGGGGTGCGACCTCCTCATCCATAGAGTCGGGGAGAAGCTCGGGCGACTGGGACAGGCCGGTTGTCTTGTTTAGGATCTCCATCTCTCGATCTGTCAGGGGGAGCTCGGACTGGCTGGAGAATGAGAAGCACCTGGGATTACAGAAGGTTACAGAGCACACACAGGTCCTGGGAGGGGCAGAAGGGGACCAGGGCATGGAAACAATGCGGGCCACCGGGCCGAGGACCAGGAGCCCTGGACACTGTGCCTGGAGCTCCATGGCAGAGGCGGGGTTTTGAGTCTGGTTTGATCACCAACACACACAGCAGGAGCCTGGCCAAGTCCCCCTGACCCATCTCAGTTTCCTTGTCTGTAGGAGGAAACCTCAGACTACATGACCTGAAGGCTCTCCAAATGTTCCAAACTGATCTTTTATATTTTTTCTAGGCACTTATGCTAGAACCTGTTGCAGGGCCTTAAAACTGTCCACATGGCCCTCAGTTTACCTTCCTGACAAAGCTAAATGCTCTCAAGCCAAATCCCCCAAATCCAACCCTGCCAAGTCCGTTCCAGCGAGGAAAGGAAGCTCCTCCAGAAAAGCACGGGCGTGGGTCACGTGACGCCGCGCGGTATCCCGAGTCACATGGACTGTAAGCCTTGAGATCAGGCAACAATTCAAAGTGCGCGTCAGCTTTGCACACTTTGAAGTAATACGGGTACCCACCCCAAGGTCGCCGAGAAAGGAGTACAGGCCTCAAACAGCTTGCCTACTCTGGCCCCCACTCTCTCCCCATGACTGGAGGGTTTAGTCAGAACTCACCCATCGGGTTTGCAGGCTGGGGAACTGGGTTTCACTGGGCTGGTTGGAGACGGATGCCCCTGCTTCTCGATGGTAAGTCTGACCAGCTCCTAAACCCCGCACAAGAGAGAAGTCATGAGGCGCTAAGAAAGCTCCTTGCTGCTTGGTTTCCCCCACAAGGTAGGTCACTGGTGTGTCCTCCGCCGCCTAGTCTCTTTCTGTGCCTACACATTTTCCGCATACTAGAAATGCAAGTACTATTTGACTTAGGTAAGCTGCACGACTTCCCAAAATGTCCCCTACTCTCCAAAAATACCTTCAGAGCATGCTGAGAAGTTTCAAACGCATAATGGCACTTCCTCTTGGAAGGGGGAAATGACAAACCCCAGGGTCTCAGAATGACTAAGTTCAATACACAAATTAAATCGCAGTGGAACTAATTCCCAGTCAGTTTGTGGTGGGGGAGAGCTCCTTTTTAGTTCCTAAAAATCACTGCATTCTGTAACATGCAGGACATTGCCTGTGCTGAGGAGAAAACCTCTGGCACCAGGAAGGTGGTTTCCCAAAGTGAGCCACCGCTGGGCGTGGTGGCAGCTGGTGTAGGGGGATGACCGGCTGGCATCTTTGTCGAGGGACAGAAAGTTAACAGCGTATCATCCAGCAGAGACGTGACTTAGGAAAAAATATACATATTTTTAAAGATTTTATTTATTTATGTGACAGAGGGAAAGAGATCACAAGTAGGCAGAGAGGCAGGCAGAGAGAGAGCGGGAAGCAGGCTCCCTGCTGAGTGGAGAGCCCGATGTGGGGCTCGATCCCAGGACCCCGAGATCATGACCTGAGCTGAAGGCAGAGGCTTAACCCACTGAGCCACCCCAGCACCCAGGAGAAAATATTTTAATAGAAAACAAAAGAAAAAAGATCAAGGCCTACTTTTTTTCCCAATTAGAATGCAGTTTCCCCCAGTGTGACGGGTTCTGATGATCACAAATCCTGAGCATTTCTGCCATTGTCTCCAGTCCAGCTGCCCCGCCCCAATGTTATTTCACTATTTCTTTCTTTTTTTTTTAAAGATTTTATTTATTTATTTGACAGAGAGATCACAAGTAGGCCGAGCAGCAGGCAGAGAGGTGGGGGAAGCAGGGTCTCTGATGAGCAGAGAGCCCGATGCGGGGCTCGATCTCAGGACCCTGAGATCATGACTGGAGCCGAAGACAGAGACTTAACCCACTGAGCCACCCAGGTGTCCCAATTTCACCATTTCTTAGAATACTTTTGCCTAGAACTCGACTTAAACGGGACCACTGCAGTATATGTACTCTTCAGCGCCCATCTGTTTCTGAACAGCCTTATGGAATCTAGTTCCCATGCCTTAAAATCCAGCCACTGACTGGGGACAATCCGATAGTTTTTTGTCTGCTCACGGGGCTGAGCCACACCAGCACTGCTTTTATGACTTCGCATCCCTGACAGAAGAAACTGTACCCGTTACCAGCCCCTCCTCACTTCCCCCAGCCTCCGCAGCCCTACTCCGTGTCACGATTCCATTCCTCCTCCTGCTCAGCGTGACGCTCCATGTTTGTGTGTGCACGAGCGTGCCGTTCCTTTTCCTTGCTGAGTTGTATTCCAACGCAGGGACAAACCTCCCTTTCCTTATCCACTCTCCCGTTGACGGGCATCTGGATAGGACCTACTTGTGTAGGGGAGGGGGGCGGTTCCAGTTGCTGAAGTTACGGAGGCGGCAGCAAGAGGCGTGAATAGGCAACGTGTCCCTAAATCAGCCTGCAAAGCCTCTCTACACTCAAAACGCCACACACAGGAATCACAACGTAGACAATAACAACAGAGTTAATATCCTCCCTAGAGCAAGGGTTCTTCTTCTTCTTCTTTTTTTTTTTTTAAAGATTTTATTTATTTGACAGAGAAGGAACACAAGCTGGGGGAGTGGGAGAGGGAGAAGCAGGCCTCCGGCTGAGCGGGGAACCCGATGTGGGGCTCAATCCCAGGACCCCGAGATGATGACCCAAGCCAAAGGCAGAGGCTTAACCCACTGAGCCACGCAGGCACCCCAAAACAGCCCTTATTTTCTTGTTTTTGTTTCTTTGCATCTTGTCAATGTTCTACAGTGAGTATGTATTACTTCGGAAATGCTAATTAAAAAAGAAAAATACAGCCAATGGCACACACAGTACGGCTGGAAGCTACACGGCCCAGCCTGTGACAGCCGGCGCCCGTTCTTGGGGAAAGAGAGGAGCAAGATCTCTAAGAGTCAAGGACTGGAGGAAGAAAGAACGTTCGTATGCTCCTGTTACCACAACTTAGGAGCTGAATGTGATCTCACGGATGGCGAAGACCAGCTACCTCGTTGGTGAGTACGGATAGGCGAGGACAGAGAGAGGGCAGACAGACAGTGTGCCGAGGAGAGAGCAGGCAGTGGGAGGACGGGAGAGGCAGCTCGTCAGCAGGCTGCACAGACGAGCATCACAGAGTCAGAGGGGTCACAGGGCCAGACCAGAGTCCTGAAAGACGTGCGTCCACGCTCCCTCTTCTCTACAAACAGGGCGAGAGAACAGAGAGAAGTCTGCATACTTGCATCTGCTGATGTACGAAAAAAATTCCACTAATTCTTCATTGATTCACAAACAATTATAATTAGAATGTCATCTTTCTGGAGAGGCAGCTGTGTGAACTCAACTAATGAGCAATGGCACAAGAGTCCCGGAATGACAGGCGCATATGTGCAGGCGCGTGCCCGAATTCCAAGAGAACGACACGGATGGCAGTAGCTCCCTTACTCCGGTTTGCTGGCCTCGGCCTGCAGAGGATGTAGAAAGGGCAGGCAGCCTTTCTACCCCACCAGCCTTCCGGGCCGAACAGTGAGATGAAGGACAGCCCTCAGAAGGTGCACATCCCTGGCTCCTGGGGCAACGACCCTAAGCTCACTCAAAGCTGACCGTCCGTAACTTGGCAAGAGCCCGACACCTCGAGCTAGCGGCAGAATTTCTGAGCAGGATGTCAGACGTGGCCGTCCTCGTGAAGCACAGGTTTGAAGGACGGGGAAGGTGGTGCCAAACTGTGTCCATAGCCGGTGACTGGAAGCAGACGGCTACCCAGTCACGGAAAAGCAGTTTTCAAAAGCCAAAAGGCATTTGGAAAGATGGCTTTCTAAGTGTATCGTACTTACTTTGGTGCTCATTTTATTCACGCTGAAAATGATCACAGGGCTGCTTCTATCTCAAATGACCTTCATCAATTCCAAGTATGAGCTGTGGTGCTCGCGGAAGAGAGGAACGATCCCATCTGCTCCCGTCTTCTCTCTGGCACTAAGACAGAGCTCCTGCCTGCCAGAGTAGACATAGGCCGCACACGAAAGGGCTCCTTATGAGATGTGCCCATGGGGACCGCTCACATCGTATGACTCACTGCCGTGCTGCCCCCACCACAAGGACACCAGACCGTGGCTGATATCCTCCAAGTTCCCATACACTGTTATCAAAAAGTGCACCGCCCTGCCATCAATGGCCTGCCATGCTGACCCCGTTCTCTCGCTGTCACCCTCATCCTGTCCCCTTGTTGTCTATCCTCCATCACTCTCTGGCTCTGCAAGAACTCTAGGTTCAGGTCATGACACGGGGCCTCTACTGATAAGCTTGCTCTAGGGTAAGTCCTTCACTGAGTCCACTGGACGCGGCCGCCAGCAGGACTTCCCTGCACTGAAGCAGCAGAATGAAATCGCAGGGTGTCCAAGTTTTTATGCTGACAAAAAGGGACCTTCCCACCCACATCCTAAGTGTGAGGGGTGTGAGGCAGCAACAGCCAAGCAAGTGTCCTCCCTCTCCCATGCAGTCAAGAACAGGTGGTTCTTGCAGGCAAGGTGCACGCGTGGGCTGGGTGGTGAGTGACTCTGGTGTCGGCTCGGGGGTTCGGTCCAGCCACAAGGCACTGGCTGGCATTCCTCAAACAGTCTAAAGACGAGGCAGCCAGAGGAGACCTCAAATTCGGTGTGAGAGGAAAGAAAATGAAGACACCGTTTTGATGAGGGTACGTGAAAACTCCGGTGGTCGTGAAGGTGAGTTGGAAGTACCAGTAAAATCTCCAGATGTTTTGTCTCAGAGAAACCATGTGACCCGGCAGCAGCAATGAGAACGGCGGCCTTCAGTGAGGTCTCCAACTCCATCGCCCAGTGAAGGGCACCCCAGCTCCTTCAAGGAATGGCTGACTCCAGGTCCGTGTGAGAAATGGACAGGATGACTTACAACTCAATAATAAAAAGACAAGCCAATGAAAAACCGGGCAAAGGATTCGAGCAGACATTTCTCCAGAGATATGTAAATGGCCAAGAAGCACACGAAACAGACTCAGCATCGTTAGCTGTCAGGGAAGTGCGGATCAAAGCCACCGCGTGATCCCACGTCAAGCCCACCGAGACGGCCGCGTCAAGGGACAAGCAGGAACCAAGAGGATGCGGAGAAGCTGGAGCCGCTGGAACCCGCAGACGCTGCTGGCAGGACAGAGAGCGGACGCAGCTGCTTTAGAAGACACAGGAAGCAACGCAGAGTCACCGTGTCACCCAGTGACTGTGCTCCGAGGTGTGTAACCAAGGGAAAGGATGATACACACCCACAAAAAGCCGGGTACGGGAGTGCTTGCGGTAGCATTACTCCTTATCACCAAGAGGTAGAAACAACACAGCCATCCACATGTCCACAAACAAACAAGACATGGGACAGCCACACAATGGGGTATTATTTGGCAATAAAAAGAACACACGCTCTCACATGGGTGAACTCCGAAACCATAACATGGACAGGAGCTAGTCACACAAGGCCACAGAGGATCCGACTCCCTTAACAGGCAAATCTACAGAGACAGAAAGTAGTCCAGAGGCCACCTAAGCCTGGGGCATGGCAAGAAATGCAGAGAGGGTCTGGGGAGAACATAAAGGATATGAGGTTACTTCCTGAGGGGATGAACATGTTCTAAAATTGATTACAGTGATGGTTGTACAGTCTGTGAACATACCCCCCCCCCCAAATCACTATATTGTACATTGTAAGTGAGCGAATTCTACGGTCTGGGAATGAGATCTCAATAAGGCGTTTCCTGCCAC